GTATTTCAGGAGTGCCATGGCTTACTGGTTGACTTTGAGATGCAGTGCTGATTTATATATTTCATTACTTCAGGCAGCAGGTAGGAGCGGGGATACTATTTTATACTTAAGCTTTCATTACTGGATTGGTGCTGAACCTGTTTTTGAAAGTAGCATCATCAATTACATTTTGATTCAATACTATTTATAGGTTGACATGCTATACTGTACAGTCTCCCAATTCAGNAAGTATGGTAAAGTAGATTTATTGTACCTGATCGAATATAATTGTTTAAATGTGGAGGTTCTTTGGCTTTGGTAAGACTATCTTTCCATGATTACAACACAAAGAGAACTCTGTTTTTTTGCTTTGATTTTCTTGTTGATTCTTTCTTCGTACCAGAAGTAGGCACCACAATGTTCACATTCATATGTAGGATCGCCTATATCCCAATACTCTATGAATAAAATAAGCAAATGTAAGATTAACGTAAAGGCGTGGTAAGCCTAGTTATTGTATATACATATTTAAAAAAAAATATGCATACCTTCATTGTCAATAATTCCGTATCCAACATCAGGATCTAAATAGTATTAAAATCATATTATATTAGCTATGAAAATTGAAAAGGGGGACATGAATGAATCATTGTTTGGGTTAAGATACACATACCTTCATAGTCGTCTTCATCTTCAGTTGCATCATTAATTTCTGCGATTTTTTCCACGTATTATTACGTTATGTAATTAATCACGATACCATTAATTTAAATATTAGTATAAAATTAGTTTATTTGTGTAATTTAATAGCAAAATAATTTATTTATGAAGAACATACCTGCTACATCCCCATCAATATTGACATCATCAAGTTCTAATAATAAATCATAATAAAATGTCATTAGTATAAATAAATGATTCATGTTATATTACAAATTTTATTTATAATAACAACCTGGCAGTAGGGGTAACTCATTTAAATCAGGTAGAAGAAAATTTCTCTGCACATTTGAAGTTGACAAACCAAATTGAGAATGTTGCTGTCAAGGTAAATTTGGATATTGTGACTGAGATTACGATGAAGCGTGTGCACATCTCTCTTGTAACGACCCGACCGGTCGTTTTGAGTCTTAGCGCTCCGTTCAGCAGTCGGAGGCCATGAACAGCTTCATTTCGAGTATTATGACTTGTACGCGTGGTCGGAATTAAGTTCCGGGAAGTTCAGAGTTGATTTAGAAAGAGACTTGTCATTTGGGAAGCTTGCAGTTGATAGAATGAACTAGGATAAGATTTTTGAGTAAACGACCTCGGAATCAGGATCTGAAGGTTCCAGCAGGTTCTTATGATGATTCCGGGCTTGGGCATATGCCCGGTTCAGGTTTTGGATAACCCGGGAGCGTTTTGGCGCCTATTGTGGAAGTTAGCATTTTAGAAGAAATTTCATAAGTTTGGTTTGAAGTGCATTTTAATGTCATCAATGTCTGTTTGGGATTCCGAGACTACGTATAGCTCCGTATGGTGATTCTAGAGTTGGAAGTGCGATCGGAAGTGAATTCGGAGGTCCGTAGGTCATTTTCGAGCCATTTGGCTAAAGATAGAAATTTGAAGGCTTTTGAGAAGTTTGACCGGAGGTTGACTTTTTGATATCGGGGTCGGAATCTGATTCCGGAAGTTGCACTAGGTCCGTAATGTCAAATATGACTTGCGTGCAAAATTTGAGGTCAATCGGACGTGATTTGACAGGTTTAAGCATCGAAAGTAAAATTTGAGGTCATCAAAAGCTCGCAGAAGCGGAAGGGGGCCAGGTCCAAGGAAAACCGCAGAAGCGGCCCAGGGACCCCAGAAGCGGTTTCGCTTAAGCGGCCCCCAGACCGCAGAAGCGGTCAGCTTCCTTTTGCCAAAAGCCGTAGAAGCGGCGAGAAGTTGCAGAAGCGACATCCGCAGAAGCGGAACTTTTCCGCAGAAGCGGAAGCAGCTGGGGCAGTGAGATGTTTTAAGTTCGGGGTTGAGTTCATTTCAACCCCATTTTTCTTCCATTGGAGTCGATGGGGAGCAGCTTGGAGATGCCATTTTCGTCACTTGTCATGAGGTAAGTAATTTATGCTAGCTTTGAGTTAAATATAAGGTTTATACATGGATTTAGGCAAGGAAATTATGGAAATTTGGGGTTTTGGTGGAAAACCTAGGAATTTACATTTCTTCGAATTTGACCACGATTTTGAGTATGGAATTAGGAGAAAATCACATATTTGAGTTCCTAAGGTCATGGGTAACCTTTTTCTTTGAGAAATTTCGGAATCCGGGCACGTAGGCCCGAGGGTATTTTGGTCATTTCACTAAGCGGAGTTGGGAATCTGTATAATTTGAATTTCTAACAAGTATTTGAGCATGTTCTCATTAGTTTGTCGTTAATTGCCTAGCTTTGGTGCATTGTGCGTCGGTTCAAGCCTTCAGAAGAATGTAGAACGCCGGTTATGAGTCTTCGGAACGAGGTGAGTCTCCTTTCTAATCTTGTGAGGGGGAAATTTCCCCATAGGTGAGTTAAATTGGTTATGTGCTCCTATTTGTGGGGGCTACGTACGCACGAGGTGACGAGAGTCCGTGCGTAGCTACTATTTTCTATTATCCGGGTAGCTAGGACCCAAAAGCATGAATACTTGAATTAATTGTAAATTCTTGGATAGCTCAAATTGTTTGTGTCACATGGAAGTTGTAAATGAATTTCTAAAGAGATTTAACCTTACTTGTAAAATTCTGTTAAAAGAGGAATTGATATATATGTATATATCGATAAACACTCCCTGATAAGTTCTTACTTGATTGATTGAACATGCTATATTTGGATTAATTGTGAACCCCTTTGAGGGTTTGAATTGCTTAAATCACATTAAATTTATAAAAGGATTTCTAAAAGACTTAAGCTTCGTTTTCTCAAACTATTAAAGAGAATTGGCCTTCCTTGGACAATTGCTCTATGTGGACTTCATGACTGACTGTTTGTCTGTGTGTGTTTATTTTGGAACGGGCCGAACGCCTCGACATATTAAATAGATGCATCTATAGGCGCGTCGTCGACCCTCGGCAAGTGCACATTTACTTTCTGTTGGATCGGGCCATCGCCTCGGTATGATTTGCGCATGATATCTTTTGTATATTGATGCATGAGGAATCTTAAATGATGACATTGCCTTTCATGGCTTGAGATGAACTCATTAAATGAAGAAAATTAAAATCTTGAAAATCCTTTGCTAACTGTTAAAAGGTGTTTGCCTGTTATACTGCTTTGTGAATTAGAATGTGTTATATGAATCCATGATGTCCCCACACATTTAATATATTATTATTGGACCGCCAGTGAGTGTCCAGGTTGACCATCTCGTCTCTACCTCTTCGAGGTTAGGCGGGATACTCACTGAGTACACGTTGATTACGTACTCATACTACACTTCTGTGCATTTTTGTTGCACAGGTATATGTTACTTTAGGTAGCAGCACGGATGATTTGGGGACTTGGTGAGCCGCATTGTTCGAGACGACCCGCAGCTAGAGTAGTCCCCTTCCAGTACTTTATTTATTGATTCTCTGTCCACTGTATTTCGGACAGACATTTGTATTTTATTTTCCTTATCAGTAGTTGCTCATGTACTTGTGACACCGGGTTCTGGGATGGTTTTCTTTGAAGATGTGTATTAATAGTTAATTTCTTCATTTGAATTGAAACAGAGATTGTTTTATATATGAAAAATGGAAGTAAAACTCCTAGGTTTTCAAAGTTATAAAAAGAGAATTTAATTGGTGATTTAGTTGGCTTGCCTGACAGCGGTATCCGACGCCATCACGGCCCGTAGTGGATGTGGGTCGTGACATCTCTAAAGGTTTATAATTTAATCGTGAAAAGTGTTGACGGTTTGTTATGTCTGTTAAAGGTTGTGTTGCCTTTTCTTTTCCAAATCCATCTCCTGTGATAGTAGCAGGACAAATAAACTCTATAAACCATAAAACATACAACTTATCTAAGTTTAAAAAACTGGAAATAAATATAACGAATATGATGTTAGAGCAACATTGNCAGTTCAGGCGATATGGTGCTGCAGCTCCAGCATCAAGTGATGATGGCGTAACAATATTAAGCGACATACGACCATGATGTAGCAACTGCGTGTGGGGGTACTATTTTATACGACCATGACATACAACAAATTAAATCTGAACGTACATATTTAAATCAGTAATATTCATATATTAATGAAATTTGAAGCTGCCTCATCCCTCATATGTGCATGTTGAATTTGGTTCACTCAAATCTGCTTTTGTAGCTATTGAGACAGAATATGATTTCATTAGTTACACGACTTATTTTGTTTCTCGAAAAGAAGTTTCTCAGGTTAATGATTTGAATTTCCGGACTTTTTATTTTCATGAGAGGTTAGCAATTACTATCTTTGTGTCTCATTCGCTTAACCTTTTTTATTTGGTCTTTTCCGTAGTATACATTTTTCCCCTACTCTTTTTATAAGACCATAGTTGTGCATCTTATGTATTTCAGGAGTGCCATGGCTTACTGGTTGACTTTGAGATGCAGTGCCGATCTGAATATTTCATTACTTCAGGCAGCAGGTAGGAGTGGGGATACTATTTTATACTTACGCTTTCATTACTGGATTGGTGCTGAACCTGTTTTTGAAAGTAGCATCATCAAATACATTTTGATTCAATACTATTTATAGGTTGACATGCTATACTGTATAGTCTCCCAATTCAGAACTTGAAAACAGAGCTAAAACTAACTGCTCTTATGACAGTGAAGTGAGAGTGGAAGGCTTGGAGACTCTTGACTACCTTGACAACTTGTGCAACAGAGAACGTTTCACTGAGCAAGGAGATGCTAAAATGAGATAAAATAGTAAGGTTAACCAAATAACAGTAAACGCAGTTTCATAGTCAGATTTTACTACCAGAAAGAAACATGAAATGCTTGAAATATGTCGTCCATAACTATACAATTTGTAAACTAACTAAAACATAAAAGTAAAACAGCATAAATAGGTTGAAATGATTAAAATACATTTTTCATAAGTAATAAAACTACTAATAAGACTAATGATATAGTTCTTGCTTTCTCCAAGTGTTACATTCACAAACACCTTATGCTGTTTTCTTCTTCTTAAATGGTCTTTTGATTTTATTTCCTGACAACTGTGTATTAGGATCTTCTTCAACCACTGTTGCGGCATTAGGTAAACTTAGCTTGGCAGGTGTATGTGCAATATCGATTAACTCATTATCTTCTGTAGAATCCTGCATATATAAAAAATCAAAATTGTGAAAATAAGTAGGGAAATGACAGTTTGTATTTCTTTATGAATTTATAACAGGATTTTTTTTTTATACATGACTAAATAATGTAAAAAATAGTAATAATGAGTTTGCAACTTCCTATAGAAAAGAAAAAATGAACATTCACAACTTTTAAGGTTATTAAAAAATCTCCAGATGTGTAAATTTATTCGGAAACATATCATTATAGATGTATAAGTATGTGTCATCTTAAAGGAATAATTAAAAGTGAGCGATGTATTTACCTCGCATTCCTTCTCTCCATCAAAGACTTGGTTATTATTGAAGTCAGGGTCCTATCACAAAATAATAACTAAATGAGTTTGAAATTATGATTCAAATAATGCAATTTATAAGAAATTAACATATTAAATATGTTATGATATTTTTAACCAAATATGACATACAGGTAAGTCATTTGTAGGTGTATCAGGACTATATTTCTTTATCAGTTGCTCCTCGTCCGTAAGCTTCACAACACTATAAATTTCCTTTTGCAGTTGAATGTTGTCACTCTTGACAATAACCTTAAACATGAATTTTCTCTGGAGAACATTGTTCAGCTCTATTGGATAGGGATACCTATCAACACCTCCAGTATTCTAGAATGAAAATTTGTGTTAGAATTGTTAAAAAAAGAAATATGAATATAATTAGTTAATATACCTCAAGAAATCCTTCCTTCAATTCTTTTGCGGATTTGCCTATGAGAAACATGGCTTCGTGGTCCCAGAGCAATAGGGAAACAGATCCAGTAGTATCCATTACCCTAACCTGAAGCTTGTACCTAATTTCACAGGAAACATTTGAGATATAAATGTAACCAATTGATGGATTAAGGAAATAGAGTTGGTGCTATTACCTAATTACTGCTGAGTAATCTTCATTTTTGCATTTGAGGTTTGGGCATTGATAAATGTTTCCCAGTTTATCCACCTTTTTTTGGCACTTCTTGCAACTGACATAAGACCATCCTTTTTCAAGTTCTAAATTTTCTATACTTGCGACAATCCAACAGGGACCTTCCTGTTTAATAAAATGATTAAAGTTTAAATCGTGACGTATATAGAGAGCGTATATATGGAAAAATAAATAATAATATATAATTTGCATACTTTATATTACAAAAATTATGGTCGTCAACCAATATGTCATATGAAAGATGATGATATAAAGCATGACAGGAATTTATGTATATGGTAAATCAGGTATTGGGACAGCTGAATTAGCTTAGGCTTCGGGACAATTGGTACTTAAGGCTTTGGCATAACAGGAATTTAAGTATTTGGTACCCCATGGCTGTTTTTCAGCCATGGAGTAGTCATAATTGATCAAATCAAAGTATGCCCTATGTCAATTTGAAAGGTTAAAAATTGAGGTGGAAGCGCAGTTAAAGAGAGGGATATTGAGGCAATTCTCAACAGGATCATTTAGGAAGAGCGGAAAATTGAGTTTCAAGAGGCAGAATTAATTTGATGCAAGGAGGAATAATTTGAGATTCAGTTTCAGCAGGCAGTCGTCGCTTGATCCGATTCGAAGGAGTATGGCTGGAACCTATGGACCATCTTTAAAAGATGAAAGACTGTTAAACCTAACAGTTTATTTAATCGCGCCACCCAAATAAATTCTACTGGTAAAGCTGCTATTCGTAAGAATGCCAAGAGATAAACATACAGACATTGAGGAGTTATTTTGTTGGAGGATCAGTGAATTCAGGCCATCTTGTAGAGTTTTTAAATTTCATATATTTAAGTATGAAATACAAAACATAGATGAATGTCCATAAGTATAACAGTTTGTTCATAAGAAAAGTGTTATTTTAGAAAGATATTAAATTATAAGTACATTTTGAAAATGAGAAGAGTGGTTAGTATATTTTCCTTGTGTGCATTAATATGAAGAAAGAAAGTAAAATCAGGGCAAATGATTTCATTTAATAAACATAACTGACATGTGTTACATCAAATATTATAACAACTTACATTATTTCAACTCTACATATCTATGCAAATGGTGTACCAATCATATAAAAAGTCATGAGTTTATAATTTTCAAAATCACTAACATTTTAATGCAGTAAAATAGGAGAACCAAGGGCTGAAATATCAGAAGAAAACAAATAGAAAAGATGGTCTAATGAAAAATCAAAGAAAAAAGATAAAAAGAGTTAACTCACTTGCATGGACTGGACTAATTGGGCAATTGTTTTAACTTCAACAATGCCCTTCTGTAACTCATCCGAAACAGAGAAACTTTGTCGAGAGATGGTTTGAGTAAGCCTCTCAGAGCAACTATCTCGAACAGAAAGTAATCTATATGTATAAATGAGGATTAGAGTTAGAAATATACATCAAAATATCGATATCACTGCAGACACATGATTAAAATATATTAACCGGGTTTTAAACTCTTCGGATTGAGGAAAAATAGGATTAATCCACAACTTTGATGTATTCCAAGTGTTGCGCACAGAATATGAATCTGCAAAAAAAGAATTACGTGTAACATGTCATGAATAACTTTCAAAAAGTAATGTGAAATTTAATAGTTGCATGTTACCTTGAAATTTATGGGCTTTTATGAGCTGCATAACAACAATAATAGGCTGGTTGTTAGAACTTAAAAGGTGAGGTATAACTTGATCAACAAATTCACCCCAGAATGTAGCTGATAACTTGTTCCTCCTGTGAAATAGAAATAGTGTACAATATTTAATATATGTATTTATGAAATATATCATTAATCGATGGTTGTCTGTTTATTCTTACTCATCATCTTCTAGTTCGATATCCATATACTTCCTAGTAATTTCACCTTGTTTTTGCGATTGCACCTCACTAAAATTGACAATCTCTCCGATAACATCTAAACAAATATGAAGATGTTGAAATAAGTACCATCAATCTATTAAAAAAAATATGTAAAAATATATTAAAATAAACACAAATATTACCAAATAATTCACTCTGGTTGACATCAACTTTATTTATCAATTGATGATATGGTCGCAGATCAAAGATATTCATCGAAAAAAGTGGATCAATTGTTTCAGCCACTGTTGTACGTTGAGTAAAAGTCAGCATCAATCTATGTTTTGTGGTGTTGAACCTCTCCTTGTTTTGGCAGACGATAAAGTTCGCCATAAGATACAATCCAAGCTCATTAATTTTTTTGTTGAAAATATGCAGAACAGACTTCCCAATAGAAGCATGTATACGATCACCCTACAAAGAAATTACAATATGTAAAAGATGGTAAGTTTATTACAATAGAGCAGAATCTTGCTTCATGCGCACAAAGAAATCTATAGATATTGACATTTAAATTTCGAAGAGTACAAAGGATAACAATATGGAAGAGCAAAACATATCTATGGATATTGACATTTAATTTTCGAAGAGCACAAACCAATTAGCAAGGCAATAACATAATAAAAATACCTTTTAAAGTGAACAGCATCGACAACATGCTAAATCATACCTTCTTTTACAACATGCTAAATCATAATTGTTTCACAGTTAGAACTAAACAAAATATACAGAATAACAGTATGGAAGAGCAAAACAAATCTATAGATCTTCACACCCCATATATCTTAAAATGCTAAACATTCAGCTTGCTTATTCCATGGCAGCAATTCGTGTTCAATTGACACATATCTGACGACATAAAGTATTCTTAGATATGATCCGAAGCTAAGGTGTCTAAATGTACCTCATGCTAAATTATGGGGGCCGTTTATTTATTTAGCCTGAGAATATTAAGTTGAATCCAACAACCACAGTACACAGAGAAACATTTATAAAGTTTCAACAATCCGAATTTTGCCACTTAATACCAACACTTATGTCTGAGGCAGGGTTCGAATCGTTGATGTGCGACTACCACCCACATCACTCGCTAGGCTCTTATCACTCAACCAAATTCTTGGGGTTCTATTAGAATTTATATTGTTGCTGATCACATAGACCTTCTTGATGCTTTTTCCCCTTAACATCTTCAAATATTGATACATATTTATTAAAATATTTTAATTGTAAATGTTCTCTCTCTCAGGACACATACCAGCCATAACAATAAGCACAACGATGTCATCACAATTTTGCATCGCGCAGGTACACAGATACATAGATATACACACATATATAGGTGATAGCAAATTTAGTAATTAATTTAGCTGAAAATACAGAAAAAGTGTTACATGTTAGTCATGAAGATTATATGCGCACAGAAAGAAACAACAATAGAGTTTTCTTAATTTCTAAAAGTTTTAAGTACTATTAAGTGCAGATTGTAAAAACATAATCTGGTTATTGAAGACATGAAAGTTATGAAAAGAGGATATCTCCAAACGTACAAAATAAAGTATACTGCACAGCGAATCCCTCAGGTTTTGAAGATTTCAACAAAGATTATGTAAGCAGCAGGCAAGAAAATCGGCAAAAGAGTGGATATAAGTTCATACCAAATAGCAAAACAAATCTATGTATATTGACATTTAATTTTCGAACAGCACAAACAAATTAGCAAGGCAATAAGGCGAGGCAAATTTCTGGACCTTGCCACTTGAGAAAGCAACAGCAACTCGATGAAACTTAGATTTTACAGAAGCTTCGTGGCCTCTATTTCGTGCAGAATAGACCAGAATCTTGCTTCATGCGCACAAAGAAATCTATAGATATTGACATTTAAATTTCGAAAAGTACAAAGGATAACAATGTGGAAGAGCAAAACATATCTATGGATATTGACATTTAATTTTCGAAGAGCACAAAACAATTAGCAAGGCAATAACATAATAAAAATACCTTTTCATCTTGTAGAACCAATTCAATGGAGAATATAGAGCCGGGATTAAAACGATCCGGTTTTTCCCACATACGGACAACGCGAACTTTCAACTTCCATTGCATCTTTGAAATAGTTATATCCTTGATGAAATCATTGTTAGCGGCCATGTTATTGCTAATTCGTAACTTTTGTTGAAATCTTGGTATAAAAACGAACATTAGAATTGAAGCAGTTGTAGGTGTGGAAGAAATATATATTTAGAGGTTTGAGCAGTTGCTACCCAGTAAAGTAAATCGTGGGTTAGACAGTTCAGGCTAACGTGACTTTGCAGAGACAATACGTGAGTTTGCAGAGAGAATTTAGGGTTAATTGAAGGTAAAATTTGTTTTAAAATAAAATAAAAATAATTTACATATATTAAGGGAAGTTTGAACGGTTTGTTTCAAAATCCCACGTTCAATTAATGCTTTTAAAAAAAATTTAATTAATAAATTGGAATGGAAGCTGGAGCAATTGGAATGGAAGCTGGAGCGGCGGTTATGGAATAAGTTTGAAAAAAAAATTTAAGTTACACGGCTTGTTTGTTTTACCCACCTTCATTTAATGATTTAAAAAAAATTTAAATTAATAGATTCTAAGATAATGTTTAGCGGGAGTTTTGGAATGACTAAATAACTTCTACAGAAAATACCTAATATAAGTCAAATTGAAGTTTGTTAGTATAATTCCAGATATGTTGGAGAAATTCCTCTCATGCCAAGTGTCAGTTTTTTATTATTCCACTTGGCTTCCTAAGAGGCTTTTATCCTTAGCTTTTAATTATAGATTATTTGAAGAGATGTAATTTGATTTTGAACCATCGCTACTGTTGGCTAAGTTTTTTAAGTAAAAAAAAAAAAACGAATTTTTACCAAATAATTACAACATCTTATTTAAATTATGATCCAAAGGAGACTTGAGAAGACAAGACTTTGACACAAGCTCCAAACAAAATGAATTATCAGCAAGGTTCTAGGTAATTACTCTTTCTTTTATTCTTGAAGAGAAATATATATAAAGTTAAGATCATCTAACAAGATCTGTAAATGGTGCAAGACTCTAAGGTGTTATCCTCATGTTTACTTTTACATCAGTTTTAAAATTATACTGAGTGTAAGTGCTTGCTTTTTTATAAATATATTTAGTATTACTGAACGATATACATGAATAATTATGAAAAGAAATAACTTAAATAAGATATTGTTGCACAAACGTTAATATATTATATGATAAAGATATGTAAAGATTCTTTTTCAAGCTCCAATTAATATTTTCTTTTACATTTTTTGATTGTCAAATGAAAAATTGTCCATGTTAAAAAAAAATTAAAACAAAAGAATAAGATATTAAAAGAAGTAATATAATTATCAATTGAAACAGAGAAAGAAACACATATATTGATGATTAATTGTTATTAGAATTATTGGTTTATTCATGTTTAATATGTAATCAAAATAAACAGTGTCTACGAAAACGGCAAAGAGTCTTGCTATCGGGCTATATTTTTTAAGTAACAAACTAACTTTTAACCAATCAAATACAATATCGTATTTAAATTACGATTCAGAAGTGAATTTGAGAAGACAAAATTTTTGAAATATAAGCTCCCCAAACAAATTGGATTACAAGCAAGGTCTAGCTAATTACTTTTTTTATTCTTGAAAAAAACATATATGTGTTTTAGATCGTCTAACAATATTTGTAAATGATGTAAGACTCTAACGTATTTTCCTCATGTTTACTCTGTGCAATAGTTTTTAATTATATTGAGATATTTAAATATTTTTTTGTCATAAATATCTTTTTATAATTATATCGAGAGTCATACCGTTATTTTTCAAGACTTTGAAAACATGGAGTGTAATAAATTTTGTAAAACTTTCATTACATAACGTATGAGTGAGTAACATTATATTAGTTTTTAATATTAGAATAAGTTTTAGACAATCTATTATTTCACTCCACATTTATCTTGATATTAAATATTCATATTTAAATTTTATACACACTACAAAGTATTTGACTACAAATATTTTGAGCTCTATTTTATAATATAACTAAATAAATTTAGAATAGATAAGATCACGTGCAAAACACGTGTAGAGAGACTAGTTATTTAGAAATGTGATACTTTTGAAAGTTTCCCTAAATGAAATCCATTCAGAATTTTTTTCCTAATTCTTGGCATTTAATAAAGTTACCTTATAGTTTTAAATTCTGCTTCAAAATTGAATATGGAAACATCAACCAAAAAATATGCCGATTCCTACCTAAATTGTAGGCCTTTTTAATCAAGCAAATTTAAGCGTTTCTCTATATAATAGAAACTTGAAGCAAAAGTAAGAAAATAAAGAATATATGGAAATCTTCCGCAGTCAGAATTTTTCCTATTACTACTAGGTTTCTGTAACATTGCTTAAACTCCACGGATGAGGGACCTCTATAAATACTACCGCTAACCTAAACTAAGTTTTCATCGTTGTTTCTTCTCTTTCAATGGCTTCCCTTACCGACCACTGTTTCTTCCTCATCTTGCTGTTAATCATTTTTGCTGCTTCTTCCGCTTACGCGCAGGCTGAACCTTCCCCGTTTTATTCCATTTACAGCTTTGGAGACAGTGACTCTGCTTCTACTTCTGATCATTTAGCCGCTGTGCTTGGTCTGCCTTCTCTACAACATTACACGCGTTGAGTTCGAGTCCGGTATTAGTTTCATGACACCTGGAGCAACAGTTATGAGTCCCTTTTCCTTCATCAAGAATGGCATCCCAGCGCCTCAGCAGTCTGATCACTCGCAGATTTCTGCCTTTATGAAACTCTTCTATAAGGATTGCTTCTCTTTTCATGACTGCGGCAGGAACAAAGTTCTTCAGAAAGCTATCGTCTATATGGATCAGCCTGGTTTTAATGATTACAAGCACTCTCTTTTGCATACAAAATCTATTTCCGAAGTGTCCAAACTTGTCCCTGATGTTGTGGAGACAATCAAGAGTTCTATCGAACAACTGATCAAAGATGCCGAGGCCAAACACTTTGTCGTTTCTGGAATTCTTCCCATGGGTTGCCTTCCCGGTTTTCGAACAATGTTTCCTGAAATCGACAATAGCAGGAAAATTAAATGTCACAAAGGACTAAATTTGTTCGCAACATTGCACAATGATCATCTATGGCAAGCGTTGGAGGAGCTGCGATTGAAGTACCCTGAAGTTGAGATCATATATGCAGATTATTTCAAGGCGTTTATGGCGGTTCTACGCAATTATGCGTTCTTGGGATTCAAGACAGAGACGCTGATGAAGGTTTGTTGCGGTAGTACTGGAAGCGGTCCGTTTAACTTTGATCCTCTGAGGCAGTGTGGAGAGAAAGGAGCTGTAGCATGTTCAGATAGGGCTTCGCATATACAATGGGATGGATTTCGATTGACACCTGAGGCTTCGAACAATATGATTGATACTCTCTTAAGCAAAAAGGGTTTTGTATTTCCAGAGTTCAAGTTCGAACGAGATCATGGAGCAGCTGCAGCAAAAAGGCATCACCATTCAAAGGTTTATGGACGATTTAGAGATGGTCTANCCTTTACTTCTATTTACTGATTTTCTTGTTGTTATCGGTTCAGGTGCATTAACTGTCTTATTCCACTATTACTCTGATTCTTTATGTTGGCATTTTCCTTAATTGTGTTACTTGCAATTATTGGCTCGAGGTAACCTTGCGCAACATTATGCCTTGAATTTATGCTATAATTGCTACATGTTTATGTGACTTAATTGCTACTTGACATTTAGTATACTAAATATTAAATTGCCTAATTGCTCCTTAAAGTCCATAATTAATTGCTACTTGTCATTACTTGTTTTCCTCAGTGAGTCATAATTATTGTGTACTTGTTGTCTTATGAATTCGTATAAATTGTTGCGTTTGTTAGAGTAAATTTCATTTGGAAGAACTGTTGACTTAATGAAATGGGAGCGGGTGGTACGCCTACCACGAGATTTAATAAAATGGGAGCGGATGGTACGCCTACCACGAGATATAATGAAATGAGAGCGGATGGTACGCCTACCACGAGATTTAATGAAATGGGATCGGGTTGCACGCCTGCAACGAGATATGTACTGATAGTGAAATCTGCTTTTATTCCCTTATCCGTGTTAGAGTTAAATTATTGATGTTCTTTATTATTTCCTTGAAATTCTGTATTATCTGCTATCCCCGAAGCATGTTCCCCTCCCATTTAAAAATGTTTGTTCTTGTTATTTTCCCGTTGTAGATATATATATAACTGCACAGGTTTATGTGGTAGTCCTGTCTAGCCTCGTCACTACTTCGCCGGGGTTAGGCTAGGCACTTACCAGCATATGGGGTCGGTTGTGCTGATACTACACTCTGTGCTCTTTTGCACAGACCCAGGTCCCGGACAGCAGCAGTAGCTCGGGAGCCAGCCTTCAGTCCACCGAGACTCCGAGGTAGCCTTGCACGCGTCCGCAGGCCCGACGTCTCCTCTATCTTATATTTCATTCTGTTATCTCATGTTTTCGAGACAAACAGTGTTATATTTCTTTCAAACGATTGTATTTAGTACTCTTAGTAGTCCGTGGATGTTGTGACACCAATCTTGGGTATAGGCTATGTTGAATTTTTTTTCCGCATTTCTATTCAGTTTTCTATAATTTAAGACTTCCGCTTATTATTTAATTTCGTTGCTTTTATATTATTGCCGATAATTGTTAAAAGGGATTATGTTATTAATGAGAAAGTAATTAAATTCGGCTTGCCTAGCTCCCATTAGTAGGCGCCATCACGACTCCCGAGGGTGGAAAATCCGGGCCGTGACAAGTTGGTATCAGAGCTCTAAGTTACACAGGTCTCACAATTCACGGACAAGCTCTGTAGAGTCTGAGGGATCGGTACGGAGATGAATGTATTTATCCCCCAGAGGCTACGGAGTTAGGAAAACTTCACACTTGTTTTTTCCTGTCCTGCGGTTTTGTTTCTCAAATGCTAAATTGAAACCTCTACTCTTGTCCCTTCGCGAATGGCGAGGTCATGTACCGCTTCTTCAGCTGAGCAGCAGCATAGACTAGTGATAGATCAACTACGTCTTCGGAGGCTTTGTGGAGGTTGGATAAGTTTCACCAAGCTCTTCACTACTACATTCAGCGGTACATCTACTGAGGATCCCCAGGATTATCTAGAGAGTTGTCATGAGGTTCTCAGGAACATGGGGATCGTGGAGACCAATGGGGTCGATTTTGCTACCTTTCGCTTGTCTTGATCCGCCAAGACATGTTGGAGAGATTATTGATTGGCTATACCAGTTAGGTCACCAGCTTTGACTCGGGAACAGTTCACGCAGCTATTTCTGGAGAAGTTTCTCCCCATCACTCAGAGAGAGGCCTATCGGAGGCAGTTTGAGCGTCTCCAGCAAGGTTCTATGACTGTTACTCAGTACGAGATCAGATTCATCGACTTGGCTCGTCATGCTCTTATCATGTTTCCCACTGAGAGAGAGAGCGAGGAGGTTCATTGAGGGACTCGTCCAGCCCGCTCAGATAGCTAGAGGTGGAGGTTGCGGTATTAGAGGTGGAGGTAGAGATGCTAAAGGTGGAGGTAGAGGTATTAGAGGTGGAGGTGCAGGTACTGTTCTGGTTTGTAGCAGAGAAGCTTCGGTTTATTTTGTGCCGCATCTGGTCATGCCTAGTGGTTCTTTGAGTGCCCCCGTTTATGTGTCTACGCCGGTGGGTGATTCTATTGTGGTGGATCGTGTTCATTGATCATGTATAGTTGTGATTGGAGGTCTTGAGACTCGTGTAGATTTGTTGCTTTTAGATATGGTCGACTTTGATATTATATTGGGGATGGACTGGTTATCACCCTATCACGCTATCTTGGACTGTCATGCCAAGACTGTTACCTTAGCTTTACCGGGTATGCCTCGTTTAAAGTGGAGAGGGACTCCTGGTCATTCGACCCGCAGTGTTATATCGTATGTGAAGGCTCGGCGTATGGTCGAGAAGGGGTGTTTGGCCTATTTAGCCTATGTTCGGGATTCCAGTGCTGAGGTTCCCTCTATTGATTCTGTGCCTGTTGTTTGTGAGTTCCCTGCTATTTTTCCTTCAGACCTGCCGGGTATGCCACCCGATAGGGATATTGATTTCTGCATTGATCTGGTCCCGGGCACTCAGCCCATTTCCATTCCGTCATATCTTATGGCCCTGCCGGAGTTGAATGAGTTAAAAGAACAGTTGCAGGATTTGCTTGAGAAGGGTTTCATTAGACCCAGTGTGTCTCCTTGGGATGCGCCGGTGTTATTTGTCAAGAAGAAGGACGGGTCAATGAGGTTGTGTATTGATTACCGGCAATTGAACAAGGTAACGGTCAAGAATAAGTATCCACTGCCGAGGATTGATGATTTGTTCGACCAGCTTCAGGGTGCTAGGGTATTTTCCAAGATTGACTTGAGATTTGGCTACCACCAATTGAGGATTAGGGCATCCGATGTTCCTAAGACAGCTTTCCGCACTCGGTATGGGCATTATGAGTTCTTGGTTATGCCATTCGGGTTGACAAATGCCCCAGCAGCTTTCATGGACTTGATGAACCGGGTGTTCAGGCCTTATTTGGATTCATTCGTGATAGTGTTCATTGATGATATATTGATATACTCCCGCAGCCAGGAGGAGCACGAGCAACACCTTAGAGTGGTTCTTCAGACTCTGAGGGATAGTCAGCTATATGCTAAGTTCTCGAAGTGTGAGTTCTGGTTGGGTTCAGTCGCATTTTTGGGTCATGTCGTATCAGCAGAGGGTATTCAGGTGGACCCAAAGAAGATAGAGGCAGTCAAGAACTGGCCTAGACCAGCATCAGCTACGGAGATCCGGAGTTTCTTGGGGTTGGCGGGCTACTATCGACGGTTCGTGGAGGGATTTTCATCCATTGCAGCCCCGATGACCAGATTGACCCAGAAGGGTGCCCAGTTCAGATGGTCGGATGAGTGTGAGGCGAGTTTTCAGAAGCTCAAGACAACTCTGACTACGACACCGGTGTTGGTTTTGCCCATAGGTTCAGGGCCTTATACAGTCTATTGTGATGCTTCCCGTGTTGGGCTTGGAGCAGTGTTGATGCAGGATGGCAAGGTCATTGCCTATGCTTCGAGGTAGTTGAAGATTCATGAGAAGAACTATCCGGTTCATGATTTGGAGTTGGCAGCCATAGTTCACGCATTGAAGATTTGGAGGCATTATCTGTATGGCATGGCATGTGAGGTGTTCACGGATCACAAGAGTCTTCAGTGTTTGTTCAAGCAAAAGGAGTTGAATTTGACGCAGAGGAGGTGTTTGGAGTTGTTGAAGGATTATGATATCACCATTTTAAATCATCCGAGAAAGGCTAATGTGGTGGCCGATGCTTTGAGTAGGAAGTCAGCGCATTCCTATGACAGTCTCCTATTCATCCGAGAGGTTAGCTGAGATCTATATTTGGGGGATTGTTCATCTTCGTGGTGTGCCCGTATCTATCATTTCGGACCAAGGTACGCAGTTTACCTCGCGCTTCTAGAGAGCAATTCAGCGAGAGTTGGGCACGCGAGTTGGGTTGAGCACAACATTCCATCCCCAGACGGACGGTCAATCCGAGCGGACTATTCAGATTTTGGAGGATATGCTCCGAGCTTGTGTCTTTGACTTTGGAGGTTCGTGTGATCAGCTTTTGCCTTTGGCGGAGTTTTCCTGCGACAACAGCTACTAGTCGAGTATCCAGATGGCTCCTTATGAGACTTTATATGGTAGGCGGTGTCGGTCCCCGGTTGGATGGTTTGAGCCGGGAAAGGTTCGGTTGTTGGGTACAGATTTGGTTCAGGAGGCCTTGGACAAGGTCAGGATCATTCAGGATAGGCTTCGTTCAGCTCAGTCCAGGCAAAAGAGCTATGCAGACTGCAAGGTTCGAGATGTGGCCTTTATGGTTGATGAGCGGGTATTGCTCTGAGTGTCGCCTATGAAGGGCGTGATGAGATTTGGGAAGAAGGGCAAGCTTACCCCTAGGTTCATTGGTCCGTTTGAGATTCTTGATCGAGTGGGAGAGTTGGCTTATAGACTTGCTTTGCCGCCAAGCTTATCAGCCGTGCATCCAGTGTTTCATGTGTCCATGCTGCGAAGGTATCACGGCGATCCAGCCCATGTGTTAGATTTCAGCACTGTCCAGTTGGACAAGGACTTATCTTACGAGGAGGAGCCGGTAGCTATTTTGGACCGGCAGGTTCGTCAGTTGAGATCCAAGAGTTTCCCTTCTGTTCCTGTTCAGTGGAGAGGTCAGCCTCTAGAGGCATCGACCTGGGAGTCCGAGTCCGATATGCGGAGCCGTTACCCTCATCTGTTCCCCGACTCAGGTACTTCCTTCTTCTATCCGTTCGTGGACGAACGGTTATTTTAGAGGTGGAGAATGTGACGACCCAAAGGGTCATCACCTGTTTTCTTACCCATTCTGTGCTTCCGAGGCCTTGAAAACCTCATTTATAGTCGCCTCGTCTTGCGTGCGCAGTCCGGGCACGTAGCCGGAAAGCTTAAATGTGAAATTCTGTGAAATATGCTAAATTTTGGTATTAAAATGAATAAATTTAACTTCGGTCAATATTTTGGGTAAACGGATCCGGACCCGTGATTTAACGGTCCCGGAGGGTCCGTAGGAAAATATGGGACTTGGGCGTATGCCCGGAATCGAATTCCGAGGTCCCAAGCCCGAGAAATGAATTTTTGTGTGAAATTGTTTTTTCTGGAATTAATTAAGGAAATTGGAAATGAAATTTTAGGAGACTATGGTATTGGGCCCGTATTTTGGTTCCGGCACCCGGTACAAGTCTTATATATGATTCAAGCAATTTCTGTAAAGTTTGGTTTAAAACGGACGTCGTTTGACGCATTCCGGACTTGAAATGGATAATTTGATGTTTTATGAAATTTGGAAGAAATCATGGGTTTTGAGGCCTAATTTGATGTTCATGATGTTATTTTGGCGATTTGATCGCACGGATAAGTCCGTAGGATGGTTTTGAGGTGGTGTGTATGTTTGGTTTGGAGCCTCGAGGGCACGGGTGAGTTTTGAGTAGGTTCCGGGATGCCTTAGACTTAAAATATCAGCTGTTGCAGGTTCAAGAAATATTGCAGGCCTCTGAACCCTCTAGCGCGGTCCGCGAGAAATCGCGTGCGGCCGCGGAGGGGCCAGCGCGGCCGCGGTCGACTTTGCGCGGTCCGCGGTGGGTGCTGTGCGGCCGCAGTCAGCTTTGCGCGGTCCGCGCAGGGTTAAGATCCGCAGGTCTTCAGGTAGGCCAGGCCAGCGCGGCCGCGGTCCCTTTTTGCGCGGTCCGCGCTGGGACTTCAGAGGGTTATATATAGACGGGAATTTCAGTTATTTTTCACTTTTCAAAAACCCAAAACATAAGAGGCGATTTTCCAAACAATTCTTCTTCTTCAAAACGAATAATAAGTGATTTCTAACTCATTTTCTTTACTCCTTAACATCTTTCAACATAATTTCAACTTCAAAACAAAAATTTTAATGGGAAAATTTGGGAAATTTGGGTAGAACCTAGGTGTTTTCTAAAATTGGGGATTTGGACCTCAATTTGAGGTCCGATTTAAAAATTATTTATATATTTGAGTTCGTGGGGGAATGGGTAAACGGGTTTTGGTTCGAACCTCGGGTTTTGACCGTGTGGGCCCGGGGGGCATTCTTGACCTTTTGGGGAAAAATGATGAAAAAGCTATAGTTAGGTATTGGGTTCGTGTTGTTTAGCATTTATTGATGTATTAAGTCATTATTGTATAGATACGATTGATTTGGAGCCGAATTCGAGGGGAAAGGCGGTTATTGAGGATTGAATTGGCAGTGGAAGTTTGAGGTAAGTGTTTGGTTTAACCCTAGCTTGAGGGACTAGGAGTTGAGTCTTATTTGCTAATTGCTTCTTGTTGTGTACGACGTATAGGCATGGTGACGAGTATCTATACGTTGGTGTCTCGCATAACCGTGAGTCTTTAAATTGTGAATATTTTGGTTTCGTTGTACTTCTTATGACTTGGTGGTGAATTCCTATTGGTTGTGATAAGTTGTGGAAGTAAATTGTGTCCTTTGAATATCGAGGAGCATTGGCTCAAGTAATATTTCCAATGTGAAAGTATATGAAACGATTGAACCCTTTGGAGCATTGGCTCAAGTGGTAAAGTGAATTATGAATCTAAAGTGAAAAGAAGAGAAAGAGTATTTAAGTTGCTCCCTTGCCGGGACATTGTTGATTATTGAATATTTTCCCTTGCCGCGACGTTGAGGTTATTGATGTTGTACCCTTGTCGGGTTTTAATTGTTGTTTGTGTTCCCCTGCCGGGATTTTCATTATTGTTTTGTTTATTCCCTTGCCCCTTGTTTGTGATTGTTGTTTGGGTGAGGAAGAGTGTTAAAGCACGAACGGTGATGCCGTGCATTGCTTGTTTATTGTGAGGAAAGAGTGTAAAGCACGAAGGGTGATGCCGTGCATTGTTTGCTATTGTGAGGAAAGAGTATAAAGCACGAAGGGTGATGCCGTGCCACACGATGTACCATTATGTGTCAATTCTATTGATTATATGTGAGGAAAGAGAGTAAAATCACGAAGGGTGATGCCGTGCACATTTTATTATTCTAATTGCTTTGGTGAGGAAAGAGAGTAAAAGCACGAAGGGTGATGCCGTGCACTTGCCTTTGATTTTCCTGATTTTTGCTGATAATTGGGTTATGTTGTCCTTTACTTCTATTTACTGATTTTCTTGTTGTTATCGGTTTAGGTGCATTAACTGTCTTATTCCACTATTACTGTGATTCTTTATGTTGGCATTTTCCTTTGTTGTGTTACTTGCAATTATTGGCTCGAGGTATCCTTGCGCAAAATTATGCCTTGAATTTATGCTATAATTGCTACATGTTTATGTGACTTAATTGCTACTTGACATTTAGTATACTAAATATTAAATTGCCTAATTGCTCCTTAAAGTCCATAATTAATTGTTACTTGTCATTACTTGTTTTCCTCAGTGAGTCATAATTATTGTGTACTTGTTGTCTTATGAATTAGTATAAATTGTTGCGTTTGTTAGAGTAAATTTCATTTGGAAGAACTATTGACTTAATGAAATGGGAGCGGATGGTACGCCTACCACAAGATTTAATGAAATGGGAGCGGATGGTACGCCTACCACGAGATTTAATGAAATGGGATCGGGTTGCACGCCTGCAACGAGATATGTACTGACAGTGAAATCTGCTTTTATTTCCCTTATCCGTGTTAGAGTTAAATTATTGATGTTCTTTATTATTTCCTTGAAATTCTGTATTATCTGCTATCCCCGAAGCATGTTCCCCTCCCATTTAAAAATGTTTGTTCTTGTTATTTTCCCGTTGTAGATATATATATAACTGCACAAGTTTATGTGGTAGTCCTGTCTAGCCTCGTCACTACTTCGCCATGGTTAGGCTAGGCACTTACCAGCACATGGGGTCGGTTGTGCTGATACTACACTTTGTGCTCTTTTGCACAGACCCAGGTCCCGGACAGCAGCAGTAGCTCGGGAGCCAGCCTTCAGTCCACCGAGACTCCGAGGTAGCCTTGCACGCGTCCGCAAGCCCGACGTCTCCTCTATCTTATATTTCATTCTGTTATCTCATGTTTTCGAGAGAAACAGTGTTATATTTCTTTCAAACGATTGTATTTAGTACTCTTAGTAGTCCGTGGATGTTGTGACACCAATCTTGGGTAGAGGCTATGTTGAATTTTTTTTCCGCATTTCTATTCAGTTTTCTATAATTTAAGACTTCCGCTTATCATTTAATTTCGTTGCTTTTATATTATTACCGATAATTGTTAAAAGGGATTATGTTATTAATGAGAAAGTAATTAAATTCGGCTTGCCTAGCTCCCATTAGTAGGCGCCATCACGACTCCCGAGGGTGGGAAATCCGGGCCGTGACACACCTTCACATTGATTTTCAGCGCTACATTGGCTAGATACTGTTTGCACATCTAAGTACATGTTTTGTGAAACAGCACTGTGATACAGCTCCTAGTTCACTCTCACAATTTCGCTTCAGATCACCTGGTCAAGAAATAAAAAAAGATTAGCCACCACATATTGCAAATTTCTGCTAAGGAAGATAAGAAGTTGTATTTTCATTTATACCATAAAGAGAGCCATTATTGTGTGGCAAAATAAACCAGGAGATCAACCTCCCTCCCATGCGGCTGCAACTTTGTCATAACATCATAAAGTAAAGTTTTCAAGACTCTTTCGACCTGATAAGGGCATGCACTCGAAGGTGGCAGAACAGGATTTGGATTGAAGTTCTAAAACGATAAGATAGTAAAGTCAATATTGGGTTGAAAGACCAAACAGACGAGAAAAGAAAACTGCAAACTGCTTATTTACCATGCCAGATATCTGGCACATTTGTGCAAGCTCAGAACAAAACTCATGTGCAACACTGTCTTGCACATTTCGAAAAAAGTGTATGCAGATCCAATTGTTAACAATTCCTCCATATACCATTTTCAGTCAATAGTAAGAGATACAGCCACACAGTCTGATAAGAAATGGAAATAAAATGTATGTGAATTTATAAGTAAATTAACATGTCATAAACAGTCACTGGCTAATAAATATTGTGAAGAAGTATAACACTGCAACGATGATTTCTTTTCCGTGTCTCTACATGTCAAAAATGACTACTGTCTAGCCTCAAAAGAAATCTAGACAAAAAGGACAATCCTCTGTCACTGATCATGGCAATTGCTTAGCCTTAAAGATCTAACATTATTTCCAGAATGTGTTAAAGATGGAATAGGGATCATAACACGGGACTAAAAAATGGCAATCATTCACCAATATAGGCCGTGGCAAAGTAGGACGGATTTTCCCTCACCATAAAAGAAGAAAACAGAAGATTTTATTTACAATAATGATGTGTACAGGTGATGTAAGTTTGCACATCATCAAGTTATCTTACTTGCATCAAAATCACCACTTCTAGCAAATTGAATTCCCAAACTAGATAACCACACCTATGCAATTATAAATCACAAATATAAAATAAGATTCGTTCTCTCTAATTCACATTCTCTTTTCTACCACACCCTTATCAAGTGAAACCGTGTGACCAACACATCGCGTTATGGCTCCTAACAATAGATAAATCTATATCAACATGCAATTTTCCCAGAACAGAAAATACTAACTGATATGAAGTGCAGCAACTTAGAAAAAAAATAACAACACCAATAACAGTTAATTTAATGCTCAGATGACACTGTACTTCTATATTAAAAAAATACAGCAACCAATCAATTAGTCAGCTATGCCTCAATCGCAATGTATTCCAAATAAAGCATATAAATAAGTAAAACGGCAGAGCTCCAAATCTCAAGAATATCGCGCTCCCTCTCTTGGGGACGCTGGCAAGTCACTTTTAGAAGTGCAGCGATATGTCTCTCATTCGAGCGCTTTGAGTAACTTTATCCCTCCACAATCTTGCAGACCTGGACCATGATATATGTAAGCATAGAAAATTGATAAGATAATCGGAGAAGACTAGTTTTCAGTGTGAAAGAGGTACTACTTCCATTGGCAAGTAATCAGGTCTCTGCTGATTTCTAACTTGTAGACGAAGCCACTGGGTATGCTGGATTACAAACCCATATGTTTCTTGAAAATATTCAATTACAGAGTTCACTGTCCCATTGTCATCAACAGGGAAGCTACCAAAAAACAAAGGGGGAAACAAAGAGAAAGATCAAGGATCAGCACCAAGAAAGAATCAAAGAAGATATGACAAGAAACGGAACGCCAGCATTTAGAAACACTACTTCTTGCAGCTACACATGATATGACCTATACAAAAGTTCTCAAATAACTGAATAAGCCTACATACTAGTCCATCATATGGCTTTGATAATGTACGTTGCATCTTATGGCTTTGATTATAGTGCTTTCACGTACCCGCGCAATGCGCAGATTGTTTCAAAGGGAAAAAGCTAATATTATAGAAACAGGTCAATATTGCAGATTTAATTTAGCAATCACATTTAAAAGAATTAAACCAAAAAACAAATATATGGATTTCACAAGATTGTATCTATGCTAGGGACCACCAATATTTATGCATTCACGCAAAGATCCGGGATAAAAGTTATCTCAAATCAATATAGATAATCAAGAAAAAAGCAGTCTTATAATTTCCTTTGGAGTGATTGAAGTTTATTTCCTTCGCAAAATAAGAATACCCTTAAAAATCATCCGAAGCATAATCAAATACCACTTTTCTCCTGCTGGAAAGACCTGATATTCCCATTAACTTTTGCATTAAATGTTGCGTCTCACACATGATGTCATAGTTGTGCAGCTCGCCTGCCAGCAACTACTACCTTTTGCTTCAATGATTTAGCCATTTTCCCTTCATCTTTCTCCGTTTCCATGGTAACATCTTTAACTTTAGCGGCTTTTCCCCCAACATAGCTTGCTGCACTCTTGCTCTGTTCTTGAGCACTTTGTTTTACAATTGAATCTATCTCCTCAGGGGAAGGAATTTTTGTTTCAGCAGTTGTACTGATCTTCTCCTTAATCTCCCATGTTCTGGGGCAACAAAGAATGGAAAGGAAAAGATAGTGTCTGCTCTGTCCAGAGGAAAAATAATTATTTGAAGTTTGAACGAAAATATACCTCTTATATAAAATTGATTACAAATATGCCCGAAGGAATAATGGTATCCTATACCAGTATCATAATTGTCCTTGAACACAAGATGCCTGAACTTAGTTTTTATTGCTTGCTTCAGTTTGTCAATCCATCTCGCACCAAAGTAGCCAAAGACCCAATTATAATCTCACGCACATATTTCGAACCACTTGGTTCTCTACGCAACACAATATCGAATAAAGTTGAGCTTCACATTGGAGTCTATAATTATTTGCAAGCTTTCTCTACGTACAAAATTATTAATTGGATTTATCGACTACACAAGAAAATAAATAAATGAAAAAAAACCAAAGTGGCTACTGGCAATTGATTCCATATATCTGAAAGCCACAAAAATTCAACTTCTAGTACATATGTTCACACATAACAGTTGGTTCGAATTTTATTTCTTGTGAATCGCAACACTTGAAAAATCATACATCATCTATTTTGAGTGAAAAAACTGACAGCAAGAGAAAAGAAAAATTAACCTCAAAAAGTTCAATCTTTTAAGCTAGTAACAACACCTGAAAAAGTACGCATCATTTCATCAGCGGCTTTCCACTTCCTTTTACAAAAATAGTCCAACATACCTCATAAAAAAATTAATGATATACCAAAAAGTAATCCTACAAATCCATGAGGACTTAAAGTATGCTTCTACATTAGCTGATCAAATAAAATCGACCAACTAACTTGAATTATCATCATTAGAGTTTTCAAGTACATCAATTATAAGGTTTAAAATGGATAAGAACTAGTTCTTTCCATTGGTACATCCAATGGAAAGAAGATGTACCTTCTCGTCAAAATGGTAAAATGTATACAAGAAACACTCGACATAAGTACAGTTCATTTCTTCTCTCATTGTTCATCGAGGTATATGATTCTAATAAACACCATTAGAAGATGAATCTTCACTAAATAATCAAAGATACAATTGTCTTCCCAATCGTTTATTTTGTTATGATAGAACAGTACCCTATTCGCAAAAAATATTTTCCATGTCACATTTCATTGTTAATGGCAGAGAAGGTTCTTGTATTAATGGTTTAGCTTAAAAAGTGAATATCTATATGGAGTGACCTCATCTTCACACTTAAGGAACAAAATTATCCAAAAAATAATGGTAGGGGTAAATACTGAAACCCATTTTTTTCTTCAATAACAGTAAGACCCATTAAATTGTTCAAGTAAAGTAAATAAAAGGGCCTAATAATTTTCAGCACAGTATAATAACAGATTTCCCTCCTTTTTGTGGTTTATTGGGTGAAGAGCGTGGAGGGGGGTGCGGGGAGGGTGGGGGACTATCACGACCCAAACCGATGGGTCGCAATGGGCATCCGGTACCTTACTCAACCGAGTACCAACGTAACGTATCTTTCTTATTACATCATCATATACATGTGACATACGGGCCTAATAAGCCAACATAATCATTTATAAACTCAAAACCTGGGCCAACAAGGCCGTACAATCTTTCACGTACACGACATATGTCTACAAGCCTCTAAGAGTATATAAATATCATAAAGGTTGGGACAGAGTCCCGCCTAACAAAACAATACACGTCTAAATCATACAAACCAAACGAGCAACTCCGAAGCAAATGGAGCGCACCAACATCTTCCGCTGAGCTGATAGCCTACTTGGAGGGCTCTCGACCTGTCTATCGGGACCTGCGGGCATGAAACGCAGCGTCCCCAGGCAAAAGGGACGTCAGTACGAATAATGTACCGAGTATGTAAGGCACATAAATAAATACATAAGAGACATGGAAGAAATATATAGTACATGACTCAACCTGTAAGTCTGGATAACTTTGTAAATTATAAATTACTTTTAGCATCATGCATATGCGTATGAATGTCATGTCGTGCATAGGTAGATGTTTCATAACATTATCAGCCTCTGAGGGCATCCCATCATATCATATCGGCCACTGTGGGCAAAATCATCATCGTATACCAGCTGATCAGGTGGTGGTGCGTATATAACGCCATAACCTTTCCCATATCCGATATACATACATATATATGCGTATATAACGCCGTTTGAATCATATTTCAGCCACTGTGGGCAACATCATCATCATATACCAGCTGATCAGGTGGTGGTGCGTATATAACGCCGTAACCTTTTCCCATATCCCATATACATATATTTACATATCTACGCGTATATAATGCCATCTGGTCATGGGTCAATGCACATGTATAAATGGGTGAAATGCATGAAAACTACATAATAATCTCGATATTCCTTCCGGATAAACTTTTCCAACAATGTATTATTCTGAGACTTATGAACAGAAGATAATAATAATTCTCATGGGGAATCAAGAATATAGACACCCCTACTAATTCTATGAATAAAGTAATTTATAGAAACTGTG